GACAGTCTCGCACACGTATTAGCTCATAACCTAAATAAAATTGTTAGTTAATATGTAAATAGTGTTGAAGCAATTATTGTTAGTAAAGATTATTATATCAGTAAGTAAATATTTCAATTAGCAATGTATTAATAAGTGTTAGCGTTATTTTTAAATATTATAACGACGATTATACCGATTATTTGCTTGTATAACTTCACATTTAAAAACAATAAATTATTGTATATAATGTTTATTGTATATAATTATCGTACATAATTTTATTTTTTCAGTACACATTGATTTTTTTTATTATTATTATTATCATTATTATTATTATTTATTATTTACATTTCCCGGCCGACGACATTCTGAACGAGGTACGATTGTCACTAGCCAGTCCAGTAATTTGGGAACGCTTCTCCAGTGCAGTATCCAGCAAAATGGCGGCCACTGAATATTGCACTGAGTGAGACGAAATGAGAACACAGCCTATGTATATTATGTACTCCATATTATCTATATTCATATCAAAATATCTATATAAAAAATTAACACCATTTTGTATACTGTTTTTACAAGAAATGTATATGATATATGCCACATTTTTTATTTCTAAAGCATAAAATATAAAGATATTTTTAATTTCTTGTGTCTATCATTTGTAAAAAAATCTTGATAAAAAAAAACAACATTAATTTTGCGACTTGCAATAATCTGTTTCAATATATGCTTCTTTTAAATACTTAAAATTAGCCTTATTTTGTGTGCTTAACTTGGTAGTTAAAATACATATTAAAATTGAAAAATAATTTCTGTTACAGTTGGAAAGAAACCCACCACTCACTCGCATACACACCTACACGATACATGTAGCACACACATGCACGCACACACATGCACGCACACACACGCATATGCACGCACAGGCATGCGCACCCGCTCCGTACTCCATACCCGCCATATTCAAATAAAAATTATTTATCTTGCGTTTTAAACAAAAACAAATGTTGGAATTATAAATTTAACCGATTATTTATAATGTACAAACGACGTACAAACGATTAAGCACGATAAATTCATAAGTTATAGTTTACGTGACGTAATTGCGACATAGGGGGGGCTAACTATCATTGGCACAGTTACGAAAACTTTGTAATTTTTTTTAAATTAACGAAAAATGTACAAACGATAAAAATCATAGTACATTCATGTACAAACAATGTACAATCCAAATATATAAATGTTTTTACGATTTGCGTTAAAAGGGGGGCCAACTATATAGACCTGTTAATATGTCTTACGTTAGTGGATCAGATAGTTTTTTTATCAATTGCGAACATAGTGCGCTACTGATAAATAGACATTACCTTAACAAATGTCTGTAATAAAACGTTACTTTGTTTATTTGTTTCGTTAATAAAAATATTTAGTCCACAATTTTCAAATATCTTTATTACAACTATATCTATGAAATATATGAGGATCAAAAATCACACATTAGTTTTCTTATCATTTATTCTTTATTTTCTAAATTTTTAAGTTTTAATAATTTTATAGAATATTTTCCAACTTTTATAAAATATCTGCTATTTGATTTCGTTGCTCACAAAAAATTCCTAAATGCTAATATTAGAGCAATTGCTCGATAATAAAATCCACAATCGCACAGAATAATTCGCGCCCAGCTTGTCATCTGATGCAGCGCTGCAATATCAAAATGATAAGAGTGCTACGGCTACGGTTAAACTACTACTCCAGGATGCGTCTTATCTGCAACAGAGAATGATGCCGGTGATGATTGCCTTGATAGAAGCAGCATGAAGCGCAGTGGTTATAGTCGCGCAAGAGCTGGTTCGAAATTTCAAGGCGGGTCATTTCAACCTGCCTGTGTGCAGCTCCGAAGATGGGTGCTTTCACCGGCGAATTTTGGCGATTAGGACGATTTCGTCAGCCGAAATGCGTTGTGCTTGACGTGCTTCGTTTAACGCGTGCACTTTGTTTTGTTTACTCACTACTAATTACGGAGCTGAATGTAGGCATGTGTCTGGGCTTGGCAAGCACTTTCGGCGCAACCTTACGTGGTCCGGATGATTTGTCTTCGCTGCTGAATCGTTTCACCTGAAAACAGTTTAGCTACCATTGATACAAAATTGTAGAAAAAAAAACCCATGTTCAGAAATTAGCAGGTGTTATTACCTGCTGCGCTATCCGCATTATTGACTATTCGCTTGCTATCCTTTTTCATGTCACAAACACCTCTTAACGTTTTATTCAGCTTTGTTTAATCAACGAGAAAGCTATCAGTAAGAAAATTCATATTTTGCGAGTCATCCTACGCACAATACGCCAAGTTCTATGGTGCATGTAAAAGCTCTTTTCACGAAGCAATACTTTTTCACGTGTGCGTTCTAATCGCGATGTTACTTCAGTCGCCCGACGTTTCTTCTCATATTCCGATGTTTTAAAATTCGAGGTGAAATGAGCGTCGACTTTCTCTCGCATATTTCTCACCTGTTCATCGATTGCCGCAAACTGCCACTTCCAGGAGTGATTATATAGAAATGGACGGTGGTCGAATCGATTGTCGTCGGGGCTATATGTTTCCGCATGGCAAGATGGAGTCAATATCGTCATTTTGTGACGATTTATCGCGTAACATCTATAGAAGTGTTTCACCTTATCAGCAACCTAAAATGGAAGTTTTTTTTTAATTTACATGAAAAGAGATTACACACTGTCTTGCTAGAAGCGTTCAAATACTCACTTCTTTCGGAGTACAATGATCCCACATGTGCACAAGTCTGCAAAACATGGAGAAAGGACCGGCACAATTCTGCTTTCTAAGTCGTCCAAAAACCGACAGCTCCTTATACGTCATACCCATATCCACTTCATCCAATTGCGCGAGCTGTCCCGCTTGCAGCGGTTCCAATTCCGCCGTAGGTGGTGCTTCCAGGATTCCGTCTAAAGCGGATATTCCGTGTTTGCGTCTGCAATCGAAAAATGAGCCATAATTTTCATTATATCCTAGCTTTTACAAATATCTTCTTGGTATTATAAGAAATATACATCATTCGTCAGTCACATTACACACCTAAAGTACAGAAGAAACTTCTTCAAGTCGTTCTTCGCAATGCCACCGATGGGATTAATATCAGCACTGCTGCAGTCGTATTTGGTGAGATAGCCTCGTAAGGCTTCATCCACGTTACCGCTTCCTAGTACTAAAAGGCCACCTGGGCGGCCTCTGACCCACAACATTAATTGAGCGAATAAATAAGCGATAACCATTCGTAATCGAGCCTGAAGGTAAAACATACTAAGTACAGAGGCATGTCATTTCGGTATTAGTGAGTTTTATATCAGTCTAAAATGCCAAGCAATTACCTGTACATTTTGCAAGGCTAAGTTCTCTCTAGGAGATCCTCCTTGTACTCTGAATTTCGGTGTTAACTTAGTAACATGTTGGAAAATCCCTAAAATCGCGGATATCGCAGTGTCTATGACTATGCCATGATGATAGGAGCCTATTTGACTGGCCAGCTCGGCTGCCCTTGCCTTGGTCTCCGTCGATGAATTTTCTGTCCCCATGTAGCACGTAACCAGGATAGTGTTGCACAATTGTTTTGAGTCTACTGGTATGTATTCACAGTCGCCAACAATCTTCCTGATGTCCGCCAAAACCTGCGCGTCTGAATGAGAAATGTAATGAAAATATAACATAAATGCAAACTTGAGATTTGGAAGATTTGCGTAGCGGAGAAAAAAAGTGTTATTTCTTACCTCCCTTACTGACCGACTCGACGATCATTTTGCACATGGAATACACTATGCACGCTGAAGACGACGAATCGACACCACCGCTCAATGGTAAGAAAAATCCACCTTGACAAGATCGTCTAAAGTGTAAATATGAAATTATTTCAGTAATAAATAGATACTTGGATAAATACAGCATTTTTTTTATCATTATTAAAAAACGATGAACTATTAAATGTCCTAAAGATCTCATTTGTACCTTAGATAATCCCATAACCAACAGGCAGGTGCCATCGCAATCTCTTCTTCCGGAGTGTGGTATACAAGTTTTGATTGCCCGTCGTCACCGTACACATCCTGAACTCCGTCGAGCGGTCGATCCGGCGGATTCGAGATAAGATTCTCCGGCGTAAGCGCAAAGTCAACTTTGACGCGCGGATAACTTTGCGATGCAGCCGCCGCATGTGAGCGCGATCTGATACTATTTCGATAGTTCCTACAAAAAAATATTACAAAATGCATTATACTATTTTCCCTTCTGTTGCTTCTAGATATTATTCGGAAGTAAATTAAAACCTTATATCCTCGAGATCGAACGTGGCGACTGTTACTTCCACGTCTTCGAGAGCGAATTGCCTTCCGCGATTTAATATGTTGCCATTGAGCGTAATGCTGGAGCCACCGTTGAAATAGAGTCTTCCACCGTCACATCCGCGTAAATTACTGAACATGTAGCAGCCACCGGCTTTGAAAGTGGCCGATTTAACAAGATCCACAGTTACGTAGGCTTTACGTAACTCGAAATACGATCCGCTTCCTTCCCGATGAATATTAAATAGCAATTTAAGATAAATATTAAAATAAACATAATCCTCTCACAAAGAATAAAATTAATTCTTTAATAAAAATTAATCTTTAATACAAATTAAAGAATAGAATTATTTAGTGTTAATTTTGGTACACTTGGAGATGTATATTTTTGGTAATTAAGAAAAAAGAAAAAAAAGAGAAAATCTAATCTAAAATATAATAAGTCGCCGCAGTTTATAAATCGATATATAACCAATTTATCAAGTGCGCTTCGCGGCAGTAATATTACCATTCGCAATGATTTCCACGCCGTCCAATGACATCGGAATATGATTACTGGCTGGATGCCAAAGTTCTTCGCATATTTCGAAACCGATGCACGTGTCTCTGGTTGCAATAACTGCGTCACCGAATGGCACTATAGTCTGGCCGGTAATTTGTGATATCATGCGCGGTAGGAAGTAATCCTCAACTGTACGCTCCTAATGTATAAAAATAGATTATTGTATGCAAAACACTTTGACCGATTACAGCATAATGTCTCATCATTACCTTCGTCCAAGGAGAGAACCATCTGCTTTCCCGATAATTGCCGTCTTCGCATAGCCGCATTTTCGGCCGGATTAGTAAAATCCGCCGATTCAAGAAAGCCACTCTGCAATTATACGTCACATTTTTATGCATCACCGACATGCCTACGTCTATCAATATATCTTCGCAAATGCTGGATTTTAGAAGGCTCGCCAAAACTTCCCAGCTATGCAGTAACGTGTCTGACTCATAAAAGTGATCTTCGCAGCTATAACCACTGTTGAACAAATATTTAATGATTACAACAAATTTAATATAGCATATATATATATATGTTAAAAAATCATAGCAAAATTATTAATCTATAAAAAAATGCTATTTATAATTTTCCCAAGATGTTTATGAGCAACAAAATTAATTTCCTTAGATGAAATTTAATTACCAGATCTCGAGCTCCGGTCCACTCCTGTAAGTAGCGCCAGCATTTTTCGCTTCTTGTATACTCTGCAAAATTCTCCTCGTATTCCCGTCGAAGTCCATTGCCCACTGGTTTAATGTGCAAACGGCGACAGTCACCGTACGTCCCATGTTGATGTAAATTCACGATTCTTCTTAAACGATTCTTCTTAAACTTTCTGCAAACGTTCTTGTCTGGAATAAATAGTTGTGAAAAATCGTTTGATCAATTATTGCTTTCAGAATTCTTATAGCAATAATAAGAGCAGAGAAATTAAAAATTATCACACAATATTAATATAATTCAAAAATGAATAAATTTCAACGATATACATAGAATGTCTTCACCAAATAAGCGATATGAAGTTGTAACATGAGAAGAATTGGCAATTTAATTTGCAAACCGCATGAATGCCAACACTACCGTTTCTTATACGATTAGTATCCGTATTATCGCGATTGTTAAACTGTTAAAAGTCGGCGATTGCGTGTGCGCTGTGATAGAATTTCTGGCGATAGTTTGCCAGCTAATTCTATCAATTGGAATCTTATCGATCGCTCCAGGATGATAAACTGAAACATTCTATTCTCCCTTGGTCTGGTATGCGTTGATTGATCAATAACCCGGAAAACCCGGTACTGCCAGGTAGATTATTTTCTACTCCTCCCTCCGTCCGTAGCAACTCTTATAAACTATTTTCTACCACTGAAATAATTCTGCTGCTATTTTTGAGAAATTACTTCAACACATTTACCATGATTTTGTAATATCGACAAGTTTCAAAAATTAGAAAGATAAATATGTTAATGAAGAAAATAAAAGGCAAAAAATTTAAAACATCTAGACAAAAAAAAGATACGCATATAAATATATTTGAAATTTGCAAATCCATTCTCCTATTATTAACAAAGTTGTTATTGACAAAAGTACTGACTTTTATACAAGCTGGACATTAAAATATGATATAAACGACACATTTACGAGGAATTAAAATTAACGCAACCTTGCTTCAAATATCGCTTACTATATAGATCCACCAATAAACTCTCTTTGGATTAACTCGCTCTTAATTATTCTTTAATTATGTCTTGCGTTGGACGCAAGTTTCCGTCGAAATTTTCCGTGTTGATTGCGATTAACGAGAGCTTATATTACTTCGCGCCGCTTATAATACTTGGAAAACGTCGATAGAACATGGAGTTACCGAACTCGACAAGATATTATGTCGATGAGCCACGCCGACGGCCTTCTGCAATGAGAGCGGTTAACGAACAATCGTTTGCAGCGTAGCCCCGCCCACGATTCGCGACGGTTGTCAGGCAATCATCTGGGGAACGTTTCACTAAATCTCTTCAACGGGCCAAATCCCTCTCCGCCAGGTCGAATCTAATCAAGCTCCGTGAAGCTTCCAGTATAACTTACACTCTCTTCTTGTCGGTATCTACTTCTGTGAATTTGTCTACTTGTCTTTGACACCTTCGGCTTATGTCATTTACATAATTTCCGCTCTGCTGTGACGCATATATTAATTAAATACGCATATATTAAAGACGCATATAATAAAACATTACAAATGCAAAACAAATAATATGGTAATTTTTTCTTATACATTAAAACTGCATATAATTGCATATAATATTTTCCAATTAAAACTGTAATTTGTGGTAATAAAATTGCTATATATATAAACATGTAGATATATATTTAAGTTTAATTTAATAAAATTCTTCTTAGGGCGTTAAAAGTTCTCACATTAATAGTTACTCTTCAATAATAAAATAATTTCCTCAGTGAAATGACTGCTTAAATCTCATTAGTCATAATCGTGAAAGGACATCGAGAATCTAAGACACACATCTGCCGTGAAAAGGAGTGCGAAATATCAGTATGAAAATCACGGGAGCGTGAATTGACGAAGATGAAGAATCCGATTGACAAGTATTTCCTCGGGCAGAAAGTATCATCGAGAAAGGATTATACGAATTGGGATGTGAATGTTAAGAGCGGAAGAATATCGCCGATAGTCGCCACTGACGATCGTGATGAACAAGACGAAGATGACGAAACTGACGAGAGATAACGAAAGATGATGGAAGCGATGTCGAGCAGCAGAGTGCGAGAGCTTCAGGCCATGCTATTTCCGATTCAACCTATACCAGGTAAGAAGAGATAAAAATAATTACCGAGTGATATGAAATTAGTAGCAGAATTAAAACTGCTACCAACTCGAAAAATTCATTTTCATTTCAATGCAAATGATGAATAATACGTATATAACAACGTGACAATGAAAGAGTTAGCGAGGTCGCGAAACTACGGGCATTGTACCCACCTTCGGACATCGATCTCTCGTGTGCGACTTATATGATCACATTTTACTTTCTAGAATGTAATATCTGCTCGCCAAACCCATCATTATAAAACACGTTATCGTTATAAGATAATTTAGTTCGCAAATTTGTGTAATTATTCAGAATTCTTGTCGATTACAAGCTCTTCATTGTTTCAATAAAATTGTTTCTAAAGCTCACTTTTAAATCGAGAACAAGTTTTGAAAACTTTTCTTATAAAATATAATGGGATATTCAAAGAATTAATTCTAAATTTTTCTTCAAAATAATAGAAAATAATCAAAGAATTAATTCTAAAAGAATTAGTGTAACATTCGATTTTTCCGACAACGACAGACAAGGAACGAATTTTTTTTAACGATACAGGTGGCATGCTTTCTGATCTAGCATCGCAAGAATTGCAAGTGTCTCAGCTAGATCGTTACAACTCAGCTCTAAGACGGGATGTGGAGTCGGCGTTGTTCGCGATACCTTTAGGTTTGTCTAGACATCGATACTCAAAGGAGACTCTTAGGGCGGTTCTCGATGCACGCTGCATGGTCGATGGAAGTATTCAGGAAGCAGCCAGATGGCCAACCGAATGTCAAGTAAATATAACATTATGTAATTTATGTAATCAATTACAAAAAAGTAAAAAGCTTAAGAGCCAACAGCTAGATATTGGTGTCAAAATTGTGTTTGCAATAATTAACAAATGATCGATCCTTATAACGTCAAAGTTAACCTGATGACAAGCCGAAAGATTTGTTAATAATTATTGCAAATACAATTTTGATACTAATATCTAGTTCTTTTAAGCCCTTTATTTGTTTTATAATTGATTATATTAAATTATCGGAGCCTTGTTTACTTTTATTGATGTAATTAATTAATTAAGGCGATGGTTTTTTTCAGGTAATCCCAGAAAGAATTCGCCACATAGAATACAATCCTGCTACACCGGAAATCTTCTACGTTCCAACCGGAAAGGAGCCAAGACCAAAACCGATCAACGACGAGCTTGGAACAGTAATATTTCGCTATTGTCCAACTAATGTTACCAATTATGTGAGTTGGTTTAGTTAAGTGATATTCTTCGACTATCTAAATCTTTCTTTATACTGTTTGAGTGTGTCACGAAATGCACCAATTAAAAAAAAATTTGTCTTTTAAGGCTCTTCGTTAAATAAAATTAAAAACATAAATAGAAAGCTAACAGAGAGCCGAGCCAAGAGTTTGTGCTCATAGATTTATTGTTTACAGTTGGACATTAAGTTTAAATAATTTCAGATTTAAATAATTTGAAATTATTTAAACTTAATGTTCAACTTCGTATTCGAATTTGTTACTGGCTTACATTACTGTAAACAATAAATCTATGAGCACAAACTCCTGGCTCGGCTCTATGTTAGCTTTCGATTTGTTTAAAAAAAAAATTGTTTATTGTTGTTAAAAAGGATTTAAAAGACAAAGGTTTGTTATTTTTACAGTTTAGCCGATCTTGCGTGGGTGGTAGCACAATACTACCATTCCCCTCAGAATTCGCCGACGAATCGACCATTTCAAGTACTAAGGAAGGCACTAACGAAAACGATATTTTCTTTGTCGCTGAAGCGTCTCGGCTGAAGGAAAACAGCACGGATTTACGATTCGAGTCACGATTTGAGTCTGGAAACCTCGGCAAAGTAGTGAAGATAACCGACACATATTATCAGCTCTATTTGAGAAGAGATCTGTACACTCAAAGACATACGCAATGGTATTATTTTAGAGTATCCAATACGAGAAGCAGAATTACATACAGGTAAAAATCCGGCGCAAAAATTGATCAACTGCGTTTAAAAAAAAATTGGAAAAATCTAATAAATTGTATAAAATTCTCACAATTTTAAATTAAATAACATGTGAAACAGCACAAAAACTACGACTAGATATTATGTGTTAATCTTTCTTATCGCAAGAAAGAGATTGACTTGTGATCTCACCGTCAACAAGTACAGATAATTTTGAATCTCTTATTATAATGCAACATCGCTTCAGCAGTAATCGTAAGTCTCACTCAATTTGCATGTTTAAAGGTTCTTGATATGAATCAAAAATAACGTTTTTAAAAAATTGACAAACTTTTGCGTTTAAAACTTTTAATCTAATGTATTTCAAATATTATAATTAGTGATTCTTTTAATTTAATGTACACTGAGGATGGTCGAATAATCGATCGAAACGTTTATATTTGTATTCTCAAAGAGACATTTTTGTGAATATAAGAAAGATTGACACATAAAATATACAGTCACAATTTTTGTTACCATTATTTAATGGAAAAATCTAATTTGTTTATGTATAAAAAACAAAATTTATAATATAATACGTAATCTGATGACTCCTGGCCTTCAAGAAAGTATGATTACAGATTCTCAATCGTGAATATGTGTAAAGATGAAAGTCTCTACAATGAGGGACTCAAACCTCTCCTCTACTCCACCGAAGACGCTCGCATTCGGTCTGTAGGATGGAGAAGATGCGGCGACAACATCACGTATTACCGAAACAATGATTCATCGTAGGTATTGGATGTTCCTCAATTCTTAAAACCTGCGACGTGATAAATTGCACGAAATAATTGCAGAAGCGACGAGGAAAAAGAGAAGCACACTCTTACATTTAACATCTCATTCCCTCACGATCATGACATCGTTTACTTGGCGCATTGCTATCCTTACACATACACCGACCTCCAGGTATGATGATCACGGTATCCCAAAGTTGCATCTTCAGTCGTAAATAACATAATAATCATTAATAAAGCGTAAGTAATATTTGTATTTCATCGGAGAGCTGCACTGCCGTCAATTTCCGTCTTCTTACAAGAAAGCAAAAAAATGTGGTTGAATTAGAATGCGTAATTGTTGCGCGGAATGTTCCCATGATCATTACAAATGCATATCACTCACGGAATAAAGCAGTATTTATTTCACGTTCTGCTGCCGGAGGTTTTATCGCGATTGCCATCGGAGCGTAAACGATTCTCAGCGTGCAATTGTGCTTATCGCGTTCCATCGTAGATTAAATCTCGGTCTCCCACTCAGTCTCTAATTACGCGCGTAAACATGGCAGGAATATCTCGGGAAGATCGTGGCTGACCCTGCGAAAACAAGATTCACCAAGCTGCGTCTTCTGTGCCGCAGCCTGGCCGGAAACGGCGTGTATTACTTGACAATCACCGCGCCGACGCACGACGACGAGGCGCGCAAGAAAAGGGGTGTCGTTATCACAGCCCGGGTGCATCCCGGCGAGACGCCGTCGAGTTGGACGATGAAGGGCATCATCGACTTTCTCACCGGCGACACGAATCGGGCTAAAGTAAGTCGCGTTTTCTCAACAGAGATAGATAAATATTCACCTAGAATGTGACTTGGCAGCGAGCAATTAAAAGGGAATCATCATTACAATAAGACTCATTGACAGTAGAGAAGTCGAAGTAACTTGCGTTGGAAAGCGCTGAAATTTAACGATATACGCCACGTAATTGTTATAGGAACTCAGGGAAAGATTTGTCTTCAAATTGGTGCCGATGCTGAACCCGGACGGCGTGATAGTAGGCAACAATCGGTGTTCCCTGTCTGGAAAAGATTTGAATCGGCAATATAGGACCGTGATGCGAGAGAGCTATCCGTCTGTATGGCACACGAAACTAATGATCCGGAGGCTTCTCGAGGAATGCGGGGTGGCGATATACTGCGACCTTCATGCTCACTCGAGGAAGCACAACATATTCGCCTATGGCTGCGAGAACAAACGAGCTGGATGCAACGGAAAACTCTCGGAACAAGTGTTCCCGTTGATGCTTCATAAAAACGCAGCCGATAAGGTGACACACAGATGCGCGGAATAATCTAAAAATTGTCAGCTTAATTTAAAAAACAGGCGTTTTGGTAAAAATCAATTTTCGAAAGACAGAAAGTTTCTCTTTTCTGATTTCAGTTCTGTTTCGAGAATTGCAAGTTCCACGTTGAAAAAGGAAAGGAAGGTACGGGCAGAGTGGTCGTATGGTCGATGGGTGTTCCAAACAGTTATACCATGGAAGCTTCTATGGGCGGCTCTAAGATTGGCACAAGATGCGGAACTCATTTCTCCGTTCAAGACTACGAGCAAATCGGCAAGGCTTTCTGCGAGACTCTTCTCGATTTTTCGGATCAAGATCCCACGAAGGTTGCCTATTCAATTAATATCTTGACTGCGTTTCCTGTATTTCTTTGGAAATCATAACTAATCATTCAAATATCATTAAAAACTTTTCGTTAAATTCACAAAAATCCACGTACAAACAATAAAAATAGATAAATATTAAATAAAATCGTTGCTCAGATTTAAACTGTAGCTCCCAAGAAAATACAGAACATTAATATACTTATGAAATGTAGCAGTCAAAGTGATAAGTCGAGTAGTTTTTTCATGAATCTATTCAAATAAATAATTTTTCCACGCGCACTTTCTCAAACGGACTTAAACAATAGTAAGTGGAATCACTGTCTTACATTGAATAGTAGAATATCACCTGTCTTTCGAGATTATTTAGAAGCATACTCGAGAATTACTAGGATCGAAAGATCCTAAATAGAAATTATATTTCCAGATGGACTTAAACGTATCTCAAAACGAAAACTCGATGGCTTGGTAGGAAAAACTACGGAATAAAATCATAGCTAGATTGGCGAAGGAAGGATCTAGCGCTGAGGAGCCTATCAATATCGATTTGACCGACTATTCAAGGTAAGTTTTTTCTAATAATATAATATATTATTTATCCTACGCTTTTTTTCAAATAACTTATATGATTTAATAAATGCAACTAGCGACGAAGGAGATGCTTCAGAGGAGAGCTTCTCGTCGGAGGAGGAAAGGACTGAGTACACGGATGCTGCGTGGTCCAGTGAGGATAGCGAATCTCTGACGAGTCGCCATCGTTATCTTTGTGTGCCTCCACCATCACCAACCTTCGTTCCACCGAAAAGTGTCGGTCTTTACAGAAGGAGAGCGAGAAGAGACATTGCGGGAAGGATTTATCTAGAGCGCAGGAGAAACTTGGTATTTATCACTATTCTAAAGTCAATTTGACAAATATGAAGATTGTACGAAATCACTATCGAAAGATGTATAGCAGTTTAAAAAAATCAGAATTTAAAAATTGCTGGACTATGGATAGAAATTTTTCATTTCTACAACTCAATCGTTATTAACTTTATCAATTATATTACAGATAAGGAACTATTTTTATATTATTTTTTAAAATCCTGATTTAATTTCTTTCTTTTCGGATAACCCGACATAACATATTAGTGTAAATAACATTTCGCGAGAGGATTTAACGACTGGGACTCCGTACAAAATTTTCACGAGCTGTGAACGGAGTCCGCAGCGAGTCATCCAAATAACGAGACAAAGAGAGAGAGAGAGAACCAAAAAAGTTTAGAGGTTTAAGTTTATAGGAGTCGGTGAGCCCGAGTGCGGTGAGGCTAAGGCGGTCAGAGACTATTCGAGATGATTTCTTCTATTATCTTGTTTTTTTTTTCTATAATCATTTAATAATCAATTCGGTGCGGCGAATACTTCTGTGTACACGTTAACGATTTTTTAGGTATACGTTCGTAATAGCCTTGACTTGCAACTAGCTTATTGTAACGAACAATTCCATCAAATTATATCTTTCCCTATTAAATATGATTTTGTGTTAATCATTTAAACATCTTTTCATAACCAAAATCCTGCAGAAATATGATAATTATGATATTAACAGACACAACGAACAGTGATGGACCTGCCGACTACGGATCCAGGTAGCGATCTATGTGATCTGACCGATTCGGCTGATGAAGGTTTCATTCGAAGCGAGGAAAGAGAATACGAAGGTACATTTACATAGATGTTTAACAATATTGAAATAAATTATAAATCAGTATGTGTATATGTATGCATACTGGTTTCACAGTTGAATGGAAAAGCACACGAGAGCATCGCGAAGAAATCATCGAACTCTCCGAGCGGGAGACGACAGAGAAAGAGGAACGGCAAAACAAAACGTTAATTTTACCGGAAATCGTGAGACCTCGCAGCGTGTCGTTCGGGGAGTTGCTGCCGCGCAAAGATCATCGAAAGACTCGCCAGCGACCGCGATGTCTTCGGTACAATTTAATTCTTGTCCCCCTTAAAAAACTAAATAAGCATCGATAAAAATAAAGTATTCGAGCGTGTGTATTTATACGGAAAATTATTTAATCGACTGTTTTGCCAGAACGCTGCGGAATCCGTCACCGGTCTCGCCAACGAGTCAAGAGGCGAGAATTAAACTGACGTCATTGAGACGGCAAATTTGGATGGGCGTGCCGCCGTGCGCTGCCGAGGGTAGCGACGCGGGACGCCTTGTAGACGAGTTCGTTAAGACGCCGTTGAGCTGGGGTGTCTCCAGACACGCTCTAATGCACTATCCCACGGACCGTGAGGCCACATTAAAGTAAGTTTATTCTCCACTTGTTGTACATACCATAAAATAATTGCATTGGCAATCAAATACAATTGGAATGTACATATGTATATAATTTATTATAATTAAAATATTTTATTAATCCTACTATTATCCTTGCAGACCACAATCCAAGAAGGTGCAGCCGCTCGCTTACGACGAAGACAAAGAGGACGCAAGAAAGACGCGGAAGTCGCGACGAAAGCGGCAGGGCGTTGCGGAGAACGCTTCTCAATTGAAGGAAGCCGTGCGAACGGATGTGCCGAGATCATCAAAGAAGAAAAGCTCAAGGATTGACTGGCAACGGGCTGTGAATTTCAACTCCAGGGTTAAGGACGCGAAAGGCAGCAGAACCGCTTTCCTAACGATCGAAGCGGACTCATTGAAGCTGCTAGCCGCTTCGTCAGCGACGCTGAAACCGCCGCAGCGATCACGTAAGCTCGAGTCGCGGAGGAAGTTCCGCGGCATCGGCACAGTCGCCACCACCTGCGTCAGCGTGGCGAAAGCGGGCGTCATGAAATCGACAAAAGCACCGCATCAAAGACGATCGTGTCACCGCGATGGCTTTTGCGAAAGCACGACATCTGATGACACCTCATCGGATTCGGGCAAACCAAAAGTTGTAAAGAAAAAGCAGAAAAAGAAGAAGAAACAACAATCAAGAAAGTCTGAAAACAGGGGAATAGCACAGAGCAAGCGTGCCTCCAGCGCCAAAACTTTGCGCAACAATATTTAAAGTCTATTTTAAACAATGTGGGAATGTTTTAGTTATTAATATTATTTATCTACAAACTTTCTGATCAAAAACTGGAGTAAATTTTTGCTTATAATTAATAAAAATGTCCAAGTATAGTGCAATTTCCTAGTATTACAGAATGCAATTTTCTTATCGCAAAATTGACGAGAGATGGTCTATATAAATTATTATGGGTAAGAGTTCCATATGCGACCTAACCCCTAAGTTGATTTTGATCAACTTTTACAGGCATGTAGTACGTACTAAATGTAGTCAAAATTCAAAATGCTAATATGCGGAAACGTCTAGTTTCCGAGAAATTTAAATGTAAAGTATCCGGCTGGATTTTTAAGATTTTAATATGAAAAAATGGTTAGATTTCCAAAATATTTTGCTAAAATGTTTTATTTTATAAATATTTAATTAGATTATAAGTACCAATGAGTTAAAATATTATTAAAAGACAAAAAAAATACGAAAAATAAAAACTCATTTTCTTACGTTTTTACACATAAGCAGCATCTAAACAATAATAAAAGATAAAAACTAATAAAATATAACCTAATCTGATAAAATATAAAAAACAAAATATTTTATAATATATATAATTAATATTAATATTAATATTTTATATATATACATATATATTTTGTTCTAAAATGCAGAAAACCAATATTCAAATACAATATTAAAAAACAACAAAAATAAAAATATAATAAACAAAAAATACAAAATATAATAAATACAAAAAAAATAAATTAATTGTTCATTTCAACATTCAGAACATTTTCTTAATATATTAACATTTATTTATGTGTAGTAACTTTCACGCGTGGACGGGAAAGGGGCTCCGTCTGGGGCTGCACCCTTACCCCAAAAAATTTTCTAACCTCATCTAACCGAAGGTTAATAGGTTAGGATAACATTTTCGGTGTGGGGATGCAGTTCCTTCCTCGCCCACGCGTGAAAGTTGTAAATTGACAAAAAAATCTAATATTAGTTCACAACACCTATAGAAAAGCATAAAAATTGTGGAAATGAATGAATTGTGAATTGTGTTATCTCTTAAACTAATTCTTAAACTCTGTTACCTTGCATAGAGGTCTATGCTAAACTACAAATTCATTTTTAGTATATAAAAAGAGTTCAATTTAGTTTATGTTATGTAGTTTACATTAGATTTGATTATATTCCATTATAGTTTTTAGCTATTAATATGAAACGTTAATTATGTGTAAAAACGTAAAAAAATTAGTCTTTTTTTATTTTTCGTATTTTTTTCACTGTTAATAATATTTTAACACATTGGTATTTATAACCTACTAAAATATTTATAAAATAAAACATTTTAGCAAAATATTTTGAAAATCTTACCATTTTTTCAGATTAAAATCTTAAAAATTGTTAATCCAGCCGGACTCTTTAAATTAAAATTTCTCGCAAACTAGGCGTTTCCGCATATTAGCACTTTGGATTTCGACTATATTTAGTCAGTACTATATGGCTGTAAAAGTTGATCAAAATCGGAGGTAGGTCGCATACGAACTCTATATGTAACAAGTACATAGAAAAACAATATGATAAAAATATGACAGGAAAAGTTAATTCATTAATCGAAGTATTTTAGATGATGTGAAAAACGTTATCTAATATTAAATGTAATATTATAACAATTATTGTATAATTAATGTGCGTAGATATTGTGTGTAATAGCATTTCTCTTATTTAATAACAAAAATCTATATATTTGAGGTTTATCTTGATCGAAAATGGTTCGAGCGTTAATTAATTTTCTTAAGAAATTATTCAAATTTATACTATTTATACTTAGAGACTTCATAAATATAGTTTCACAATTTCAACGATATTGACTTATTAATTACTAAGATATTTAACTTCAAAGTAAGAACCTTTTATACAGAATCTTATGATAAAAGTCGATGTTACATTTAATTATGTGCTGTAATAAAAAAACTTACAGTTTTGATAAAAGTAGTTAATAATAAATAAAATCGTAATAAAGCTTTTAGAAAAAAATTACAATAGTTTACTTGTTAATTATCGAGAAATTAAAATTTGAAATTTGAAGATTTTTATTACACCACTTAATAATGAAGCATTGATATAACAATATGACAACATTACATTATTGTGATATACAAGGTTAATGTAAATGCGCACTTTTTTATTCATTTTCTGTTATGTCTCACTTTCGTCGACATATTTTATATTTAAAAATATAAAAAAATTACATTTACAAATAGAATGTATGATCACAATACTTCACCTTACAGATTAAAAATTCATAAATAAATCAACACATATCACATTTATAACAATGCATAGTTTATAATTTAATACACATATCAAATATAGCATTTCAGCAATCATAGCTAAAAGTTTCGTGTGTATAAATAAGGATTTCTTAACCTATTATCCCCTTATAAAAGTATTATTTTTAGTCAATATTGTCACGCTCGAACCACCTTAATAATCAAGGTGAGCCTTAAATATTAGAAGGTTTAATTAATTATAAAATTACGAAGTCTACTAACTTAAATTAACATTAATCGTAATCAATTAAATCGTCTATCACTGCCTCTATCATAGAAAATATACTGAAGTAGAAAGTAATAAGGAACAATTACAATGATAATTAATCAATGTTAAAAGAAATTTTAAAAAATTAACAGCATACACGACCGTATAAACGACAATTTCACATTTGCCTCAACTGCATCAAAATTAAATAATCACGTACCACGTGTTCATGATTGACAGTGTAATGTCACCATGACGACACGAGGGCGAAAGTAAACAATTCACGGCCTACAGCGCATCCAATATATATAAGATCAATCACGTGATGAGCGAGCAGATGTACCGTTCGTTACTGATATTATGTTGAAACAGGTCAACAAACTGGGATCCTTTTGATGAAAACGCGAACTGACATTTACTGTAACGTGAGTCGACGAATGATTAAAAACACAAAATTATGCTTACCTTTGATAACCTAGATGTTCGTCAAGAAATAAGTGCAATGCGATGCATATTCCTTATTACTTATTTCGGAAATTAACTGCAAATGTAATCGGAAGAGATCGCAGCACGCTACACGACACGATACACACCGGTTTATGTTTTTCGTGATACTTCACGATATTTGACTTCGTGAAAGAGAAATACAATCACGTGAAAGCCATGCAGCTTTATGTCGCCATCTCACGGCAGCAACAAGTTCTTGCGATGGCGGCAAATTCGATCTGTTAAGGTATCTTTTCATAGTGACGCTCGACGCTCTGTTTGAGCGTCTCAAAATGGGTTATATAATCGGAATTGACGCTGCTGTATCAAAACGCTCGTGAAAAGAGATGGCAGCGTCGAATTTCATTAAATTTTAGGTGATATTTGTCAATATACGTGTCACACTTGGTTAAATAAGTGTGCTATAAAATTGTTTGAAAGAAAAAAACTTTCCAGGTACCACATGCTTGTTTTATATATATTATATATATACGTTTCCTATATGTATCTAATGTTTTTTAACGTCAAGCATCAATAAGAAACCATAATTTAAGAAACGTTTTTAAAAAATTTTTAATTTTTACAGAAATAATAACAGAAAAATTTTTTTTAATTTTATTTGTTATTAAAAAAACACATAGTTGTCTTGAAGAAAAAATATGTAGCTAAAATAAAATTATATCATATTGTTTCTTAAAGATAACTATGTGTTTTTTTTTAAACCAATTGATTTCTCTTATTATTTTATGCATAAAAGTGTTGAGATAAGATAATTGAAAAATAAATATTTAACGAGATATTTCATAGTTTATGTAAAATTATGTCAAATTAAAGTATAAAATATCTCGTAAACTATTTAATTTTTGACCATCCTACTCTTATAACTTTTTACGATGAATATTGTGTGGAATCGATTTATATAAAAGAATTAGGATAGTTCTATTTAAAAAAATGAAGATGGCCTTTAAATCTCCAAAGCACCTCTACCCAAGGTTAAACTAATATCCTTATCTCTTTTTTTCCTCTAAACTCTACAACTTTTATTTGAAACACTTTTTTTTATAATGCATTGTTTTCGAGATATTACGTTGTCTAAGTTAAAATAAGACACTATCAGTGGGGACAAATATACATATATATACAATATATATATATGAATGTATTATTTTATTAATTCTGTGAGAAAAAATACATCTTTTTTGCGTGGATTAAAAAAAACGTTTTTTTGATCGTTTCTTAAATGTTTTTGTCGGAAAAATAACGTTTCTCTTTACATTTTTCGGATTGACATTTTAATCAATGAAAAACGTTTTTAAGGACCATTATAAAACGTTTCTGAAAAGAACATGTGCTACCTGGGTTGTAGCTTTAATTGCAATGTGTATTTATGAACTTCAAAACCCAAAACAAAACAAATATCGTAAAAGACTATATTAGATAAGGTCAATGCTACAAGAACGTAAAGTTAACATTAAATGGATTTTATCATGCCATATTTCCAGTCATTACATTGGAGGAAAATTGATTTAGAAACTATCAATCAATTTGAAAATTTATTATGTTTGGTGGCACCATTTCTTACCAAAGAAATAGTAATTCGTGAACCAATATCAGCAACAGAACAATTATCTTTAACATTAAAGTAAGTTTATAACATTAATTTGGCTTTTTAATCACATAAAATTTTTTATTATTAATGATATTATAGTTACAATTTATAGATTTTTAGCATCTGGAGACTCCATGAGCTCTGTCTTATCCATGGACCTAGGAATATATGGACAGAGCTATTATAAGTAGTCTTAGAGGCGGAGGAGGGGGGGTGAAGCCTGAGTGGCAGAGGGAAATCATGCAGCAAAATTATGTTGGTCAGCTAGAAAAATGGCGGTGTTAGTAATCTAATCTTGGTTTGGCGCTTGCGTAATGAATAATATTCATAGGCCGGTATTCATAGTCATTTCTTATATTTAAGACCGTCTTAAGTCGTCGTCATCATCGTCTTAAGATACTAATATGGCTTTTTGATTGGTTCGTAGCATTTTAAGACAAAACTTAAGACAATCTTAAATATAAGAACGGACTATGAATACCGGCCATATATTATAAATTCCGCGCTCGTTTAGTTACACGGGTTACCCGTAGCCGCCATCTTGATCGGCTAGTTTCCCTCTACCCCTCTGGCTTCAACCCCGCTGGCTATCGCTCTGTCCATATATTCCTAGGTCCATGGTCTTAAGAGTATCTTATTGGGTTGACGACTATAAGTAATGTAATTGAAGAGACATGCAATGCTATCTGGGTTTGTCTTCAAACCCAGACAGCACAACATATCCAAAGGATATCCCGAAGACGTTTTTGGGACGACAGGACATCCTCTGGACATCCTTTGGATGTATTTTGGACATGTGTGCTGTCTGGGAAAAGATGTACTATCCTCCTCTTTAAATAAAACCGAATAGTTAAATATTGCTCATGAGTTTGAAGAAATGTGAAATTTTATTTTTAAAAAATGTTTTTTTTTTTAATTTTTTTAAAACAATGATAGATCAAGATGGTCCACATGGATTTTTTCTGGTTTTTGGAGACAGAAATAAATAATAATAAATAATAATAATAAATAATAATAAATAAATAATAGCACATTAAAAAATGTAACCCAATATGATTCAAATAATAGTTTTCAACAAGCTATACAAATTCGCGAAGAATTTTGTAAATTTTTTAATAACGAAGGAGCCATACCATGACAATTTATTCATTGTAATTACTATTAATTGATAAATAAATAATAAAATAAATTGGAAAGTAAGTACTTTTATTGCTCTTCACTTCCTAACAACGCAGTATAAATGTCTTTTAGTAACAATTGCATTAGTTCTAGTCTCTTCATTATTGTTAATTTTCTTAAATATGTCCAAGTAATATTAAGAATAAATCCACGTCATCCGGTTGTGAAGCAGTTTGTCGGCCGACAAACAATTCTATTTATAACATTTGTCACATCATCGTCATTCTGTTTTCTTTTTCTTCCAGCAGAATCTAAAATTATCATATCAATTTTATTCTGTAATTATTATTTCACTAGTTTTCTAAATAATTTTATCAAAAATACCTGTTTAAGTATTGTAGTATATGAATCATCATCATCGATGTTCATTCATGTACTAGAAGTACTACATATTTCTCTTTCACTTCCTTGACTTTCAATGTTTGACCCGACAAAAATAGGATGTGAAATCCACGTTATTGCCATGTGGATCAGCATCGTGAAATCCACATGAATATTCGAGTAAATAATAAATGTCAATGTAGATTTCATGTGGAAATTTCTACTAAAGATAATGATTGATCAATCGAGGTATATCGTTGTGTTTATCGCAATGTGATTTTTAATGGATAATCAATTTATGAATATTTTGATTTCTGTATATACTGCAGGTGAGGTAAACTTATATTGAACAAGACGATATTATTCTATACCCAGTGAAAAATACAGGTCGAAAAAATGTCTAATAGACATCTTATTATAAGACATCTTATAATAAGATGTCATATGACGTATAGAATAATATTGTCTTGTTCAATACAAGCAGGGCTGGGCAAAAAGTATTTGAAATACAAAATACAAAATACTGTCAATCTTAGTATTTTGATAGAAGATTAATAGTATTTTATATTTTGTATTTGATAAAAGATTGATAGTATTTTATATTTTGTATTTGATAGAAGATTGATAGTATTTTATATTTTGTATTTGATAGAAAATTGATAGTATTTTATATTTTGTATTTCAAATATAATACTTAATGATGTATTTGGCCCAGCCCTGACTAAGATTGACAGTATTTTGTATTTTGTATTTCAAATACTTTATGATGTATTTTGCCCAGCCCTGAATACAAGTTTATCTTATCTGCAGTATATACAGAAATCAAAATATTCATAAATTGATTATCCATTAAAAATCACATTGCGATCAACACAACGATATACCTCGATTGATCAATCATTATTTTTAGTAGAAATTTCCACATAAAATCTATATTGACATTTCGAGATTAAAGTGTTTCGATATAATGATGAAAAAAAAAACGTTGCATCCATATAAATAATTCGTGGATAAATCTACATTCACGTAGTCCACGTAAGTTACGTGGATTCGACATGGCTGTGACGTAACTGTTATTGTCGGGATACAGTATTATAAATTATATGAATTATATGAATTAATACATGTAAAATTACTTTTTTGAAAAATTATTTAAAATTATAAATATTTAATAATTTAAAAGAATAACTAAAGCTACAAGAGCCAGAGCCAGTTAACCTTACTGAATTTTTATTTTATAAACGTGTTGTTTACAATTTCACAAACGTTTCGGCCATTTCCGGTTGTGGTTATCTTCAGTCACAGGAATGAATGATACATGAATGACACATGAATTTTTGTCAACGAGTGTCAAGGCACAATTGGCTTGTAAAATTTCCACTCGTGCAAGTTTATGTGTTAAGGCATTCCTGTGACCGTATATACAATTTATTCAAATATGCCAAATTATCAACGCATCTGTATTTGCCGCAATTCCGCTGTTTGTAACCGGTTTTTACTGAAATCGGTTACGTACACTTCTTTTGGTGTGAGGATCTATGCCATTCCCTTCCGTTATAATATTCTTTGTCCAATTATTTAAAAATATCTCTCCATTCATTCCATCAATTTAGTTGATTAATATATAATATTCTGTCTAAGTCTTAAGCATCGACCTCAATGCAAATTCAGTGATACTTGTAATAATGTTATCTTGGTAAAATAGTGTATGTCATCCTGTCGTTTTGAATATGTTAATCATTATGATAAAATTGTTGTTTCCGATATAAAACTGTATTTGAAAACAACAGGATGACATACATTAACGATTATTTTACCAAGATGACATTATTAACAAGCACAACAGAATTTGCATTGAGATCGACGCTTAAGATTTAGACATCGTTAATGAAATTATAGGAAGTACTGTATTATACATTGTGCGCAGCAGAACATGTACACCGTTCTCGATTATGTGTGTGTAGCTGCGTCTTATTTCTATCATTACTAAACACGAAGTAGACTTGATATGACTGTATACGTGCAAAAGCATAATTTGCGTAACAGTTCATGTGAAGTGGAAACAAATAGTATTCAAGTTAACAAAT